CAGTGCTCCATACATAAGTAGATCTTTATTATAATAATATTTTTTTGTTTAAAAATATGACTCCTTCGCTATATAAGAGTTCTCATGTTTCAAAAACGAGAAACGAGACTAAACACCTCAATTCAACTTAATTTTAATAATTATTTGGATGATTTCGGCTCTCGTTTTTTGAAAACATGAGAACTCTTAAGAAATCATATTTTTAAACAAAAAATATTATTATTATTTTATATATATATATATATATATATATATATATATATATATATTATTTGTATCTTCCTTTTCTTTATATATATATATATATATATATATATATATATATATATATATATTTTATTAAAGACATTTTTTATTTTAACTTCATTTTTTATAGATACAAGTATTTAAGTAAATATAATAAACAGTATTAAATAACATTTACCGGCCTGAATGTCCGAGAAATTTTCATAGAAAATATTTGTCCTTTGACAGGATTCGAATCTGCATCCTATACGGAACTGTCATTTACGCTGACGTGCCTTATAGGATGCAGGTTCGAATCCTGTCAAAGGACGAATATTTTCTATGAAAATTTCTCAGACATTCAGGCTGGTAAATGTTATTTAATACTGTTTATTATAAACAGAGCATTTACTTAAATACTTGTATCTATAAAAAAGAACGTTAAACATAAAAAAAATGTCTTTAATAAATAAATTATCGGACTTTGTCCATTTCTTAATATATATATATATAAGAAAAGGAAGATACAGATATATATATATATATATATATATATATATATATATATAGAGAGAGAGAGAGAGAGAGAGAGACATCCAGTGTTTTTTTTATACGTGTAGGGAGCAGTGGGTAGAAGTAGTATCTTTGTTGCTTGGCTGCTGCTCATTAATAAGATGGACAGGCAACACTGGTCTTCAACCATCCCCTAAATCTCCCCATGTCAAACCCTGTAAACTGCTTCATCAGGCAGAAATTACCATCGAAAGGTGCTACACTCTTTTTTGCACTGGTAGTATCAGAGAGTCATAACTCCATGATAATAAAACCTGAGGGATGTTGTTCATTTTGTTTGTGGCAAATATTTGCACCAACACCTTTTTATCAGCACTTCTAATAAGTGCGGATGGTTCTACACAAGTCTTCACCACTCTAAACAAATCTTCTGTAGGGATAATCTGCAGTTCAATTCTGTGTTCCTTCTTTGCTATTCCACCTGAGAAACAAGTCCACTGGCGAGAGAGTTAAGGCGATGGGGACAGGTACAGGATAGTACTGAAAATCTCCAGCTGGTGCTCACACAGTAAAAACTGTAGGAGAAAAAAAAATAAATGATGATGAGGGGTGTTTTTTCTTCTTTCTTCTTTGGTTGCCTCAAGGAAATGGATTGCGTGACTCCCTTTCTCAGCCGTTACACTTGGCAGTTGTGAAACAGACACCAACTCAGTCGTGTCTACTTCGACTTCCTCTTTGTCTGTCTGTCAATCCGTACGTCCAACTCTATTACACACAGTCCGCTGAATGACTCCTTGACCCCTGGTGCTGCTGGCACCCAGCTTTTTATGCTATTCCGATATGGCCAAAATTTGCATGTGTGCAAATATTGTCTCATTTTGGATGAGATAGGGGCGCATAAATTGTGTCTTCAATAGCAGCCAAATTTCTTTTTGTCATTACTTTGCAGGCAAGACACGTTTGCGCTCGTTTTGAATTCTGAGGTAAGTCATGTCTTTCATCACAGCAACCATCAGGCGATGGCCATTTTTGTACAAAACCCTGAGCAATTGTGCTGTTTCTGTCTTCTGATGGTGACACAGCAGGTATATTTAGACATAGCATTGCTTTCCCTAATGCAGGGAGAGGAGCTAGAAAAGGTACCCTAAACATTGCTTGCTCTTAATCAACATGGCAACCTGCTGCAGTTGTCTAGTTATCCAATAACGCAGTCACAATAATTGATTTAGTAGAAATAAAACTTGTAAACATGTTAATCTCGGGTCTTGGAATATAAGAGCCCTCCAAGACAATGATTCTTCTTCAGAACAAAAATTGACACTTCTTTTCATCATTTACATTTAATCTTTTAGCATCGAAAATGGCATATTTTGCTCAGCTTCTTCCCTCCAAAACATTTAAAAAACATAAACAACTGCATTTGTGAAATTTTAAAATATAGAGATTTAAGCAACAATCAATTTGAAATTCTATGAGAAAAAAATTACTTCCATTTTTTTTAAAAATACAGTTGGTTTTGTAGTAAACAACACTATCATATTTAATACTCTTTGAAATGTTATTGCTGTATTTTTACAATAATTTGTTTCCATATAAAGTTGTATATATGCTTCAAGTCAGTTTTCCTTTCTTACACAAATTGATTTTATAATAATCATTTTTACAGGTATTAAATTGAATGTTAGAGTAGTTTAGTTTAAACTGTTTTTTTGGTGTGGGATAATAGTGAGCTAATCTGGTTAATCATTACTAATGAGTTTAGTCCTCACTATGTGACCATACTTGTAGCCTTGTGCCAAACTTAAGCTTAGAAAATAACAACTTTTTGCTTTCCTTTTCTTAGATAAATCATTGGCAAGAATGAACATGATCAGCTAAGACTATCCTTCCACTAATATAATGATGAAAGTAAATTTACAGTTATTAAAAGTTTGATGATTTCTGTCTGAATTTCTGGTATAAGGAAGTGTCAGTATTTACATTAGGGCTATTGTCCTCATCTTTGTTGTTATTGTCACAATGTTTTGGTTGTTTTACCCTCTGATCTTCATCAGGTGAATGTTGATTTGGGTAAACTTCAAAGAACTTCAAAGTGAACCATTCCTGTTCTACTGTCCATGTTTAGGGATATCTCTTCTTCTGTTCAGTTATTGTGCAACCTATTTCCACTGAGTATTTGTCTATACTACCTTGGCCAGGGGTTGAACTCACTATTACTAATAGTACAGAGTTAGACTCAGTGGAAACAGGATAAGTAATAACTTAGTAGTATTAAACAAGAACAAGACGAGATATTCCTGGACATGACAGGGGAATGAGAATAATCTACACCTGTGGATTAAATAAAGAGTTCAGTTTTAAATTAACTGAAGGTTACTTGGATCAGTAGATACCTGAAGAAGGCTGGAGTGCATACCATCTAAAATGTGATAACAACAACAAAGCTTGATACTTTGTATGACATCCTGAAATTACACTATTTGGAGGCAAATGAAATGCACATTGGATTGTCTATAACTTTGAAAAGAATCCTTAATATATTAATTATATTATTAATATATTCAACTTTGTTTCGACACGCAAGTAAAGAACTGTCTGAAAATAGAATACTGTTTAGTGTATGTATTAATGAATGATATATAATGCTACTGAGTTTTTCTCTTAAGTGAAGAGGTTTCTTTTTTCTCATGGATTACACCTAATGATGATTGAAGAATAGATTGGATGAAACACTGTATTAATGAAGATACAAAAAGGGATTTGAGTGTCCAAACAATGATGAATAAGAATGCACTTTGCCAAAAATATTGTCCTATGCATAAAAATAAAACCATTCTACATAACAATATCTAACTATTGCAAAATTAAAATTGTAAAATTTGTTCCTGTGACAAAAAATCAGTACAATCAGTACAAAGTATTGATGCCAATGTGTCATATACCATTATGGGGGATACAAGGTTGTCAGTTGTGTTTCCTACAACAGTGACTATTCTCACCATATATAGGTATCATTAATATATTTATATATCATGATATAATAATGCAGAAGGGTAAGGTGAAAGTTTAAGTTTCAAATATAAAACTCCTGGCACATACAAAATATAGAAAGGGAAAGAGTTTGGGTATATATATATATATATATATATATATATATATATATATATATATATATATATATATATAAATGCAGTAGCCATCATATGACCATGTGAAGGAAGGTATGTTTTGTTTTTTCAGTGTAGCAAAAAACAGTTTAACCATGTAAGGTTGCCGAATAGTCATACAAATATTTGTCTCTGGGTATGTTATGATGACCACAACGTCAGAGAAACAAAATTAATTTATCGACTCTGATTTTAGTTGGTTTTCTATTTGCTTATATACACATCTATAGATTCGCTTTGAAAAGCCTGTTTGCCTCTGATTGACTCATGGCCTTATATTCTAGTTGTGAAAGCTTTTCGATTGGTTGGTTGAACTATGGCTTTGTTTGCTTAGTGATTTTTATTATCTGACAATTTTTTAGACATGGTGGAATTTTTATTTATTTATTTCTCTATCCCCACACTATCAAATATATTTGGAATATTATTTTAAAGATAAAAACATTTTTCTATTTCATTAGACTGACCTCTATAAAAAAGAACTTTATGCTCTGTATGGAAATATGAATTTTTTTTATGTGCATCATAGATCTTACAAGTAAAGGGTGTTCCAATAACTTGGACCAATTTTAAATGTGAATTAAGCTAAAAATCAGTCCAAGTTATTCGAACATCTTTTACATTGCTCTTTAACATAACAAATGATTTAAATAAGTAGATACAACACCAACTGAGTTAGGTGATTGTTTGATATGGATATGTGAATTAAATAAAAAAAGGAAAAAAAAAGCCAAGCAACATTTTTTTTAAAATTGTGAAGTGCATTTTCAAAAGAAATAACTTAGGCAAGTATTTCCTTAAAGTTTTTTTCCTGTAGCCGGAAGTCGTGCAATAGTTGAAAAGGGGAGGCAACTCTGAAGCAACTAGGTGGCGCCTAATGGTTGTCGTCTTCAGCAAGTATTCTTGATAATAATAATAATAAAAATAAAAATAATAATAATAATAATAATAAAGAATACACATTTATGACTTGTTTCTCCTTTAAGACGTTTGCCTAAATTTTGATCTCTCTTGTTTAAATGTAAAAGAGGCAAATACGTCCAGGCCGCATTTCTGTCATTCCCTCATCTTTGGATCCATTTTTCTTTAACGACTATGTCGACATTAGCTGGACGAGGCCGTGGTAGGGGCAGAGGTATATTGTCACTGGGTAAAGTAACCCAACCTCAAGTTGGTAAAGTTGGCGGCTGGCAAGAAATTGAGCCTAATAACTGTTTGTCACCTCCACTTGGGGATAAAGATATTGCGATAAATCCATCGTCGTCGCCTTCTTCATTATCAAGCCCCGGAGAGAATAATAAAGATAAAGATGTCTTACAGCCAGCAGAAAATACTGATAAGGTAAGTCATCGCTTTTTTATATTTAAAAAAAAAAAAATTATTTGACAATAGCCACTCTTGTTTTGTTTTTTAGATAATAGATTTGCGTATTACTGTTTAATTAACTTAGTTTTCGGACAAATATTTGAAAATGCTTTAGTTTAAATTTATTGTTTGTGTATTATTTACTTTTTAGTTAGTCAAAAAAGTATGTAGCTAAAAAGAAAAAAAAAACGTTTTGAAAATTTATTTCTGTTAGAAAATAAAGAAAAAGATAAAATTCATTTAAAAATTACGTGAAAATAAGCTTTAAAAATCAGTGTGCTGTAGAATGGAGAGATTATTTAAACTTGTACGATTCAGGATTATGGTTATCATGTGATCCCAAAGATCATTTCTGAATCCATGCTTATATTGCGACACAAAATCTAGTCTTTAAAAATGTTTTCTGTCGTGATTTTATTTTATTTTCATTAATGATAGATCGATATCTATAATTATTTTCTGATAAAAAAAATGCTAGGTCGCATTTTCTTACCATATTCGTCGAAATACGAATCTTTTTCAAGTTTTAAAGAATGACCGGCATTTGTTCCGATATTCTTTCTAAATGTTATTTATTTACCTGTTTTTTCTAGTTTTAGTTTTACTTGTACGAATTGTTAGCGATTAATGATTACATTTTTCATATACAGCAACTTTTTCTTCTCAATGCAATCAGAAATAGTGTCTTTTTATTATTAACGCTCATCTTGCGACGATGTGATGATAATGCAATGTCAGGTGTAAATTCTTTCAGTTCCTAAATGCTTATGGAGAGTATATTCCTTTTTTTTCCGCAAAGAGCCTCTTAAACTTTGAAATCTACTAAATTTTGTTGTTGTTCCCCTTTAAATGTATCGTCAATGGTGAAAAAAAACTAGGGAAAATCCAGTTTCTGTAGTCGGTGTTGCATTCTTTCTCGTATCGTTTTTATTGTGGATAAAAAGAGAGAGGAAAGGTATTCAGATTTCTTAATTTTTTGTAGAAAGCCCAAGAAAATAATTTTATTTTTGTTCAATTTAATAGAAAAATATATAAAAATAACTTTACGATGCGTGAACAAAAAAAAAGAAAAGAAAAAAAGCTAGGGACATTTTTAATCTAATCATTAATTATCCTTTTATTTACACTTAGTTTTATTTTACACTTTCTTTACAGTCCTCGTTATTAAAGCAGAAGCTGTTTTAATTTCACTATATAAAGAATGGTACTTTCATCTGTTCAGCATTTATTTTAATTCCTACAATGTTATATGATATGAGAAAAAAAAAATGAAACGGTGAAAGTAACGAACGAACAGGAAAAAGCTTTAAAAAAATTTTTTTTTTAGTTTTACTTTGATTTACACCGTCGTTAATTAGTACAACCATTAATGGAGAAATAATCAACTTAAATACTAACAATGAATAACAGATCAAATTACAAGAAAACAAAATTAAAAGGAAGAATGATTGAGGTTGTTTAAGTTTAATCGAAGAAAAAAAAAACATTTAAAAAACAAATTCCTATCTTTCTTGCTATCGTTATTTTTTTTTAAAATTTTTAACATTATTATTACAAGGTAGACCTTTTTCTTTTCTTTTTTTTTTTTTTTTTTTTTTAAAAGAAAAAAAAATCTTATGCCACTAAAGTTTAGTGGCATAAAGATATTTTCCGCGACAATAAAACTCTCGGGTTATTTGTACACTAGGAAAAATCGATGCAATCAATACACAATATTGATTTTAAAATCGCCCTAGTTCTGAAATTGTTTTCATTACCATGGCATATGGTATTTAAAAATTTTACTCTTTTAGTCTTCTTGTAATTTCACATTGTATTTCTAATAGGTGAGAGCGATTTCCTCAGTTCTTGTTATTACTTACTTTGTTTAATTCACTCTCTAATTAATATATATATATATATATATATATATATATATATATATATACACACACACACAATCTTAAAAAAAATGTCCCAACGTGTTTTTCGTTTGTATTGTCTATTTATGTCTGGTAGTAAGAAGCAATTTTCTTTTTGTTGAATAAAATAAAACCGTGAATTTGACTTCAAGTTGTAAGTAACTAAAGAAAAAATTATGATTTTTTTTTTTTTACCCAAATGCAGAAAGGTAGAAAACTAAAGGCTTATTTTGTTTCCCCTTAGAACGAGAAATACTTAAACAATAACACTTATGAAAACTAAAAAAAAAAAAAAAAATAACAGTAATAATATTCATAGTGGCTGCATCCGAAGTTCGTGCCCCCCACTCTCAAAAAATGGTTCGGGGAATTTGAAGAATTGTTAGTTATTGTTACCAAGTGTTGGTAGTTCTCCAAGTTAAGTAAGATTAAAGAAGCACATGACATGTGTAAAAGTACAGGGGTCTTCTGTGAAGAGGATGGTCGAAACTATATATTTATTTTCATGGTAACATTTTGATAGCCCCTGTTAACCTTGTGCAGTACATCGTGTGCAGCGTACACGACATTGAAGTTTTTTACGGTTTTTAAAATAAATGAATGGTTCCTCAGAAGAATGCAGTGAATAATACGGAAGATTTTTAAGGAAAATTGAAACAAAAAGACATTTAGAAACAATTGGAATTTCTGAGACACAATGAGGAAAGAGGGCTCGGCGAATTTGACACTCGGGAACGGGATATATTGAAGGCAAGAGTAAATTTTCAGTAAAACGGCGAGTAACCTGATGGCAAAACAGGGAGGGAGATGAGCAGTAAAGAGTAAAAAGACAAACATTGAAGAAGAAATTGGCGAGTCATGATCGTCTACGTCCTAAAAAGGGGCAACGCAACACACATGAAAGAAGATTAAAAAAGACAAAGAAAAAAAAAAAACGATAGCTTTTTAAAACTTCTTTCATTTATCATTCGCCAATCAGTGAGTGAACTCCCCCCCCCTTTTTTATATATATATATATATATATATATATATATGGGTACCAATCTCCCCCATTACTAGGGTTTCACATTCGATTTGTTTTCGGTTTTCTTTTTGGCTAAATTTAAATATTTCCTTTGGTTATTCTACATTTATTTCTGTTGTGGTGGATATGAATCTAAAAATCACACTAAACATGTGCTTTTTTTAAAAAAAAACAAATACAAACAAAAACTTTACTTTGTGTCTTTTTTTTTTTTTTTTTTTTTTTTGTACGTTCTCATCGCTTTTTAAAAAGACTTGATATTTCCACTTTTTTTTTCTGAAAAGTCATCTTTGTTTATATTCATTTTAAAGAGCTTTATTTGAAACCTCTCAACTTGAAATTGTGTCATGACATGATCCAGCAGTACTAGAAAAAAAAAAAAATAAGTCATAAAAAGTAAAAATAATCGGGTAGTCAGTCAGTCAGTCTTTCATTCTTTGCTTCATCGTCGGTCGCTTGAAATGAAACACAAGAAGTCGTAAAAACTGTTGCATTTGAATGTTGAACAACGTTTCTTTTTTTGTTTATTGGACATTTCAAAAGTTCACCAAGTGAAACTAGCGAAATTGGGGAAAACGCCTGAAAATGGTAACAATATTAAATTATTTATCCTCAAATATCTGAGGGAAGATAAGACTTTCCTTTGAAATGTTATCAGAACAGAATGTGTACTGTAAATGAATGAGTTTTTTTTTTTATTTTCGTTAAAAATCTTTTTGTTTTTATAAGTTTGCTTGTCTTTTTTTTTTTTATTATTATCAAGTATGATTTCTCATTTGTTTTCATTTTTTCCTTCTCATGTTGAGTTGAATACTGCAATGTTTTATTAATTTGAATTGTCTTCTTTTTCTTTCTGACATTTTGAAAGCGATTTGCCTGGGATGAAGATTTGTCCTCATTAGAAACTTTGCCATAAGTGATGGAGAGTTAGAGATTGCACAACTTGATGCCCGTGTTTTTCTTTTTCTTTTTTTCTAAACTCAGTGACTTTATTTTATTTCATTTATTTTAAACACTAACAGTTGCTGATGATAGTTTCACTTCTCAAATCGTTTTCATAATAACGGTTGAATTATGTAAATAAAAGCTATGATGGTATATTGTGATAAATAAATTGAAGAAATTAAATTAAAAATCACAATTAAAACTTATAGGAAAACAATTACTCCCTGAAATAAAAAAATAACGTGCTAATTTCCTGGTATCGTTATTTTATTAAAAAAAAAATGAAATTAAGTTTTTTCTCTAGTAAATTTTAATTAAAATCTTCATAAAATCATTTCGAACATAAATAAACAAAAAGAAAAAAAAAACAGTACTGGACATTTGGTCTTTTTGTCTAAACAAAAATTCTTATATAATAATAATAATATTGATTACATTACACTCAACTATCAAGTGGTGAAAGTAATTTACCTCTCGTTTAAAGTACGTAACAACAATAATGGGTGTGTTTATAAAATCCATTCTACGTCGGACGATTTGTATTGCCTTGGCCTCATATGTATCTGTGGTAAAAAAAACAAAACAAAAAACAGATTACTGACATAAAAAACTAAAAGGCGATTCTTAAGGCAATATGTTGGCTTTGTATCAAACTTTAAGCTTATGGACATTTTTATTTACAATTTTTGTAATTTTATAATATTTTTTAAAAATTATTTTTTTGCTCATAAAATGGGACTTTTCAATAATTAATTAAACAATTCCGTTCATGTTTGACGTTCAAAATTTAAAAAGATTATTTTTGGGCTTTATATTTCTTTGGTTGTAAAAAAAAAAAAACGCTATACTGAAACTTTGCTTAATAAAAGTTATTTTCCATTTAGATATTGACAGTGCCTGTCACTCTTGTCTTGGGCATTCGATTCTCACTAGGTGACCCTTATGACATATGCCAAAAGCTCAGTACATATTTGATTATAGCAGTGTCTGTGGTTTTGTCCAAAAATGAATGGACAATGAAAAAGTTTTTAGATGGAAAAACAGTTTTTGTTTATTTTGATTTATTTATTTATTTTTTCCCTTTTATGATGCAGTAAAAAGTCAAC